GGGGTGTTTTGGGGGGGGGGGGAGAGGGGATGTTCTTTGGTTGCGTATTGCCAATTGGGCTATGGAAGAACATGCAGACAACGGCGGACGCACATGTGGTTGGGCGGACGGATTAGGCGGGCATGGCAAGCTGGGAGGGGGGCGGCACGGGCACGCCCAGCCGCCGCTCCTTTGAATGCATGCATGCTGAGGACCGGGGCCCTCCCGACACCGCGCAGAGGCTGCAGTGGCGGGGGCGGCGCGGCACGCCGGTGGCACGGCAGAGGGGCACGATGGAGTGGCAGGAGATCAGGCGGCAGCAGCGGAGGTGCAGGCGGCCATGGACAAGCTGCAGCAGGAGGTGCGTTGGTGTGGGCGCCTGCCTGCCCTGCCTGTCGTATGGGGTGCAAGGGACGGTGGGGGGTGATGGGCCCCGTCCCATATGAGCTCTGCTCCGTCACGCACGGCGCAAGGGAGGCGGCACGGGAGGTGGCATGACGGGGGGCATGAATCTGGTGCAAGAAGACTGGGTCCCTGGATGGGCCTCACCTGCGTGCCCCCAGCCAACATGGAGGGCGACCTAACAGAGCCTAAAGTCACCTGGGGATCACTTTCCTGAGTCCCCTTCCCCCTAAAGTGCTCACGAATCCCCCGCTGTGTAGAGGGATAGGCTGCGGGGCCTGCACCAGTCGCTGCTGCAGCGACACCACGAGCACTTCCACCCCGTCTGGGGCCAGGTGCTGAAGACCGGGTACCAGAACTCCCGCTACGCGCACCAGGCAGGCTTGCAGTGCACGCGGTGGCAGGGCGGATGATTGCCGGCGTGGAGGACGGGCCGTCGAGCGCCGGCTGTGGCTGCCGGGCTCGTGGAAGATGCCGGCCGGCCTGCGCTGCAGCTCGGTGCTCGTGTCGTACAGAGTCATTGCCAAACGATCTCTCCTGCACACCCTTCCCCAACCTAATTAACCCCCCACCCACCCACCCACCACTACAGATCGAGAGGTTTGCATGCTTGTACACCAGTCACGTGGCAAACCTGATGTTCTACTCGCCTGACAAGAGCTACAAGGCCCGACCGGACACGATGTGCCACGAGGACGAACTGGCGCCGGCCTCCGAGCTGCCACCCCCTTGCCCCTGACGGCAGCCCCCTGCACTCCCCTGAGTCGTGGGTAGTCGAACCCGAATCATCGTAATGGACACGGTCCGTTTGACTTGCAAGTATCTGGGGTTCCCAGAAACCGAGATTCGATGTAGATCCTCGAGGCCAAACCAGAGGGGAAAGCGCGAACTACCCACATGAGTTTCGGTTTTCGGTGCATGCCGGTAGATATACGGCATGGAAGGCATGCATGGCGTTTGAAATACCCTTCTACATACGCATGGAGGCTGCAGGGTATTTACTGGGATAAATATCGGCAATCCTCGGTGGATCGCGTTATGCCGGGCGCCTTCACCATGCAGACCCATGGCATGTGCGGTGCCTCTCCACAGTCCTTGCCGTGCGTTCCACTCGCCAAGCCTTTCGTCGCACACACGTCTGTGCATCGCGGCGCCTCAGGCCGGAGAGCCGGGTCTCCCCGCGCCCATCGCCCCCGCCGTGGGGCTCGCCCCCAGTGCTCCGCACACAGCCCCACCCTCGCGCCCGACGCGACGCCCCAGCCCAGCCCCACGACCCCCGCCCCCACCGGCCAGGACTGGGAGCTGGACTTCTGCTCCCGCCCCATGCTGGATGAGCGCGGGAAGCGGGTGTGGGAGCTGCTCATCTGCGAGCCGGGCCCCAGGGGCTGGCGCCACGTCCAGGTGTTCCCCAACAACAAGATCAACAGCGGGGAGCTAGGGCGGGTGCTGCAGGCCCTGCTCACCGCCCCTGGCGCGCGCAAGCCGGAGCGCGCGCGCTTCTTCCGCGGCCAGATGCAGACCATCATCAGCCGCGCTCTGGCGGACCAGGACATAGTCCCCCTGCCCAGCCGCCGCTGCTACACGCTGTATGACTGGCTGGCGCAGCGCGCCAAGGAGGTGTACCCCGCCCACCCGCGCTTCTCCCCGCTCAAGGCCGGTACCCGTCTGCGCTCCGACTGGGGACCCGTGGCGGAGCTGCCGCCGGCGCTACGTGGCGAGGCATGGTCCTTTGTGCAGCTGCCCATGGACGTCCTGCTCAAGGCATGCGGGCTTTCTTTTTGTGGGAGTCCTCTTTGGTTGTGTGGGTGTGGGTGGGGTGGGGTGGGAGGTAAGTGGAGGAAAAGGGAAGCCTGAGCGAGCAGCAGAAGGTTGGTGCCCCATGTGGGTATTTCAGACCTGAGAACAGCATTGGGATTGGCTGCCCTCCACAGTTCGATGCGATGGGGGAGCTTGTTGCCCAGGTTCCCAGTCGCCACGATCACCCATTCACCACCCTCACCCGCTCAGGAGTACGAGGACGTGGACGCGGGGCGCGCCTTTGGCAGCCGCGCGCCGGTGCCGGAGGGCACGGGGCAGGACACGCTCGTCCCCGGCGTGGCGGTGTACAGCCGCCGGGCGGGGCCCCTGGCAGCCTGGACCGCGGGCCTGGAGCTGTGCGGCGTGGTGGCCGACACCGAGCGCGCGGGGCTGGTGCTGCAAGCCGGGGTGAGCCAACAGTGGCGGTACGGGCGGTATGGCCGGAGCGAGGAGACCAGCGCCGAAGCAGAGGCCTGGCAGGCCGCCAAGGCGGACGCGGGGTGAGTGCTGGGGGGTCTGCGGGCGCGGCGGAACGTTTGTGCAGGAGATTGGCGTAGAGTGCAGGCCTTTTGTTGTGGGCAGAGGACTACAGCCCTATCCCTGGAGTGCATTGCCTGTGATTGTCGTGCCAGGGGTCAGAGCCATGCACCAGCCATGCTAGCACCCCGCACATGCCCAACCCCGCTACCACCTTGCGCAGGGGGCTGCACTTCCTGGCGATCATGGCGTCGGCGGATGCAGAGACCTGCAGCGGCCTGTGGATCCTGTGCGATCCAGGAGACCCTGCGGCCTGAGCGTGGGAAAAACCCGGTGCCCTGGGATGCGGGAAAAGTGTGACCTGTAATTCGAAACCCGGTTCCGCGCGCGCCCAGCACCGAGGGGCTCGTCACCTATCACATAACGTGCAAACCACAACATTGTGTTCCTCCGACCGAACGCTGTCGATTGAAGTTTACCCAATCTGCTCGGACCGCGAGTGTTGGGCGCAACATGTGGAAGTTTCGACCCTCCACGGACTTTGACGGCCTGGGCCGGTCCAGCCCGCTGCTGCGCAGCGTGAACAAGCACTGCGGGCGTCAGGTCTGGTGCTGGGAGGAGAATGCCGGCACTCCGGATGAGAGGGAGGCCGTCGAAAAGGCCCGCCAAGTATTCACAGAGAACCGACAGCACCAGAAGCATGCTGCCGACGAGCTGCTCAGGTGGGTGCTGGCGTGGGCACCTGATCGGAGGAGCCGATTGCCCAGATGTCGCCCCTCTTTGCTAACAATGCCATGTGCCTTGCAGATCACGGCATCCTTGGTTGCGGGCCGTCCTGTCTGTTGAGAGGTGGTCGGCGCCATGCTTTGCAGGCGTGAGGGATCCAGGGTGCCTCGCCCCACCCTGTCCCCACTCCATGTGCTCCATGCAGGCTGCAGTATGCAGGCAGGCGCTCCTGCGGCCCCTTCCCCGTGGACAAGCGCGGCCTGTCTGGATCGGGCGCGCCGGCCTCGGCTGCCACGGTGGAGGCGAGCCTGCGCAACGGCATCTCCTTCTTCGAGTCCCTGCAGTGCGATGATGGGCACTGGCCCGGGGACTACGGGGGGCCCATGTTCCTCATGCCTGGCATGCTCATTGGCTTGTACGTCACCTCCGCCCTTGACTCCGTGCTGAGGTGGGGCGGGAGTGGCACGGGCGGTCTGGGGGGTTTGTTGGGGAGCGGAGGGTGCTGGCTGGCTGGGCGCTGCCCCCGAGGCCTGTGGGCCATCATCGTGAAGTCTTACCGTAGCCTGGGTCGCCTCTTCGTCGCTCTGTAGCATTGAGAATCTTGGGCCACGCCCTCCCCGTGCAGCCCGCAGCACAAGGCTGAGATGGTGAGGTACCTGAACAACCATTCCAACCCGGATGGAGGGTTTGGCCTGCACATCGAGGGTCCCTCCACCATGTTTGGCACGGTCTTCTCCTACGTGTCCCTGCGCCTCCTGGGTGTCTCGCCCGACGACGCCACCGCTGCGGCGGCCCGCGCCTGGGTGAGTGCGCCGGTCAGGGCATTGATGTCATGTCGCTGTGGATTGGAAAGAGCCCAGGCTGAGATCAGGATCTGCGTGCGACTGCATGTGGGATAACCATGGTCGCATCTGATGCATGGGCTAAAGATTGGGTACATGGCCAACAAGGCTATTTTGACACACTGAGAGTAAATCCTTGAATCACTGGTTTCCCCACCCCTCCGACCCCCCAGATCCACGAGCACGGCGGCGCCACCTGGACGACCTCCTGGGGCAAGTTCTGGCTGGGGGTGCTGGGCGTCTACTCCTGGGATGGCATGAACCCCATGCCCCCGGAGATGTGGCTCCTGCCCTACTCCAAGTGGACGGGGATCGGCTGGGCACACCCGGGGCGCTTCTGGTGCCACTGCAGGATGGTGCGCGCTGAGGCCTGTGCCCGGGCGGGGGTGTGCACTGGGATGCGTGTTGAGCTGGCTGCTGGAACGTCTCTTGGCCCAGACCAGCCATGCACTGGCGCAGCCTGCGGGGCGATTGGCACGCGCTGGGCCAGCACCAGTCAGAGGATACAGAAATCCACTCTTCTCGAGCTCAGCATCAATCCCTGTGCCATGTCCATGCCCCTCGCAGGTCTACCTGCCGATGAGCTATCTGTATGGCAGGCGTGCCACCGGGAAGCTCACCCCCCTGGTCATGTCCCTGAGGGACGAGCTGTACCCCGGCCCCTATGCCAGCATCGACTGGAATGCAGCCAGGTGATTGCTGTCTTAATGTTTTGGATAATTCTGGTCTCGGATGGCCGGGATCGAGGGTTGGTGAGGGTGAGCTGGCTCAACTTTGGATGATTCCCGAACTCATCACCCCTCACATCCTCAACATGTTAATCGGTACTTGCACACCACAGACTCTTCGGACTCCCTCCCCCGCCACCCCCCAAATGCTGCGCAGGAACCAGGTTGCAGCAGAGGATCTGTACTACCCCCACCCTCTCATCCAGGACGTGTTGTGGTGGACCTTGTACAAGGCTGAGCGTGAGTCATCTAAGAGGGGTCACGGCTTACGATATGTGACCTGGATCACAGAAGAGAAGTGCTGGGGTGTCTTGCTTGTTACTTCCTCCAGTACACTGTTCTCTTGCCCATCTCCCCAGGTGTGCTGAATGGGTCCCGCCTGCGTAAGCGTGCCTTGAAAGAGTGCATGAAGCACATCCATTACGAGGTAGGCGCAAGTGGAGAATGAATATAGTTGGTGACTGCTATTGAAAGGCACCTGCTCATTGTTTGCCGTGTACCGCAGTGTGCAACCCCGCATACCACGCAGCCCTGTATTTCAACCATGGGTCAGAGAACTCAGACCGGAGCCTCCTCTCCGCATCCCTCCTGTTGCACACAATTACTTGCCGCACAGCCTCAACACCCGACTGCACCCAACCCCAGGATGAGAACACCAGATACATTGACATTGGACCGGTCAACAAGATCCTCAATATGGTGTGCTGCTGGTTTGAGAACCCGGACAGCCAGGAGTTCAAGCTCCATCTGCCGAGGTGAATTGAGTTGGTGGAGGGAAACTCGTTATCGTCTCGTGTGCGCTTCTAAACCGGGGGGGGGCAAGACCATTTTGAAAGCCAGCAAGTGCACTGACGAGGACAGCGCCCAGCCGCCAAGCAGCTGCTGGTGTTAGGCTGAAGTGTTGCCAGTGCCTCATGAGTGCCAAGTTAGGTGATCTAGGTGAGGTGAACAAACAATGCTACAGATTTGCAGTCTCTGTCCACCCCCATCCCTCCCAACACAACCTCCCCCCCATCAGGCTGTACGACTACCTGTGGGTGGCCGAGGACGGCATGAAGATGCAGGGCTACAACGGCAGCCAGCTGTGGGACACTGCCTTTGCCGTGCAGGCCGTCGCCTCCACCGGCCTGGCGGGGGAGGCCGGCGCGTGCCTGCAGGCGGCGGCGCGCTTCATCGACGCCAACCAGGTGGCGCAGGAGGCGCAGCAGCCGCTGGAGGAGTACTACCGCCACATCAGCAGGGGGGCGTGGCCTTTCTCCACGGGGGACCATGGCTGGCCCATCTCCGACTGCAGGTGGGATGGAAAGAGAGTGGGGGGTCTACGTTTGGGGGGGTGAGAAGGGGGTGCTCATGGTGGCTGGTAAGTGCACAGGGGGGGCCAGGGAGTGCCGCAGAGTATGTGAAGAGGAGAAAATCCCTGTGTGCTTCTGCCCCAGGGGCCTGGCACCAATGCAGCCCAGCCCCATGTTCTTGATCCCAACAGCCGCCGCTCCCGACGCGCAGTGCTGAGGGGCTGAAGGCGGCCCTGACGTTGACGAGTCTTGGCCGCGAGCTGGGCGGGCCCCCGCTCCCCGCCGAGCGGCTGCACGACTGCGTCAACGTCCTGCTTTCCTACCAGAACCCGGACGGCGGGTGGGCGACGTACGAGAACCAGCGCTCCCACCCCATCCTGGAGGTGTGGGGATGGCTGGGCGCCGTGGATCGGAACGATGAGTGCTGCTTTGGGTGATGTGTAGGGAGCACAAGCCTTTGTCTCGACAGCACCTCGCCACACCAACACCACACACGCCACCCTGCCAGCTCATCAACCCGTCAGAGACGTTTGGGGACATCGTCATCGACTACAACTACGTGGAGTGCTCGTCGGCGTGCATCACCGCCCTGCTTTCCTTTGCGGCCCAGCACCCGGAGCACCGCACCAACGAAATCGAGATGTCGGTGCACCGGGGCGTGCGGTACATCAAGAGGTACGCATGGGCACCCGTAGCTTTGCTGTGTGGAGCCCAGGATGGCGTCGCTGGCGTCGGGCCTTGGGGGTGCCACGGTGTGCAGGTGGGCTGCTGGACTGCACACCAGCCACCGCCACCAGCCCACGCACCAAACTCCCACCCCTCTCCCCCGCTGGCCCACAGCATCCAACGCCCCGACGGGTCCTGGTACGGCAACTGGGCGGTGTCCTTCACCTACGGCACCTGGTTTGGCGCGGTCGCGCTGGCCGCCGCGGGCGAGGACGTGCACGGCTCGGCGTGCCTGCGCCGGGCCTGCGCGTTCCTGCTTTCCAAACAGCGCCAGGACGGCGGGTGGGGAGAGAGCTACCTGAGCAGCCAGACCAAGGTGAGGAGGTGGGGGTGATTTCAGTGGGAGGGGGGGGGGGGGGGGGGGGCGGGGGGTTGGCACGGGATCGGGGGTCTGCAAGCGTAAGACTTGCACATGCTGCCGAGCCTGTGGCTGAGGGCAAGGACGGCTGCATGCATGAATCTCCTTGAAAAACGAAACAGGGACAAGCATGCCCCACCGCATCTGCCCCACCCGCCTCCATACTCATCCTCTCACACACCATGAAAACAATGCCCACCTGCGCTCAGGAGTATCACCAGTCGGAGGGAGAGGCGAGCCACGTGGTGAACACCGGCTGGGCGCTGCTGGCCCTGCTGGCGGCCAAGTACCACGAGATCGACGCCGCCCCCTGCCACGCGGCCGCCCGCTGCCTCATCCTCGCTCAGGCAAGGGTGTCAGAAGTGAAGAGGGAATGGGAGGTGCACGCCCCTGCTGAGTAGCGTGAAGCTGATGAGGGCTCACAGAGAAGGCACTACAGATAGTGGTGCTCCTCTGTTGTTTGGCCGCGCAAAGCGTCCTCCAGCTCACATGAGCAGAAAGGGGGCCACACTCTGTCGTCCTGTGACTGGGTGCAGAGGTTTCGTTGCCAAACATTCAATTCAAGTACGACTCCCCAGCTCAGCGAATCCATGTTCCACACTCCCCACCACCTCGCCAGGAGGCGAGCGGCGACTGGCCTCAGCAGAGCATCTCCGGCGTGTTCAACCGCAACTGCATGATCCAGTACGCCAACTACCGCAATATCTTCCCCATCTGGGCCCTGGGAGAGTACCGGACGGCGCTGCTGGGAGCAGGGACGAGTGCGTGAGCCTCAGAGCATGTGGAGTGTGCCAGCCGGCTGCCACTCCTGGCTGGAGGGTGCCTTTTCCAGCACTGTCAGCCCGCCCTGTGTGTGTGTGAGAGCCTGTGGTGCACCACACACCCTTTTTGATGAGCATTGTGCGAGTCTGTTACGGAGGGCTTCCTGAGGAAAGGTTGTGACAGGGCAGGCCCGGCGTAGACCCTGCCTGTGAAAGGCGAGGAGGGAGCCCAGATGCTTCCCTGCCTTGTTTTCTTTCTGAGCGCTTGGCCACACCCAGAAAAGCATCCTGGGCAGCTGAATCATGCAGCGGTTTGAGGGCATCTCACCCTTCACCCATCCCCTGCCATCCCCATCTGGCCTTTCTCCATATAAAAAGAATGGTGCGGTGCCTCCAATGGGTATGTGACAATGGGTTCATAGATGGTGGTGCTGGTGGGGGAAAAGCAGGGGCCCACGCCCCGCTCGGCGGGAGGTCACAGCTGCAGGTGCCGCACCTCGCAGTTGTACATGCGCTCTGGCTTGACGCCGCAGTACCCCGCGCAGAAGTGCTTCCAGAAGGAGCTGTGCCCGAACGCCACGATGACGGTCTCGGGGCGGTCGTACAGCCAGCGCTTGAAGGCGGCGATGCGTTTCTGCGCAAAGCATGGGGAGTGGGCTTACTGGGCTCAAAGCTGATGGAGGGTTGCAGAGGCGGGCTGGGACCCACTCGCATGCACCCCCGACCCCTGCAGGAGATGTGGGCGATTCGAATCCTCCCCTCCCTCCCCCACAACCACCCGCCCCGGCCCACCTGGACGGCGGCCTGCTTCTCCCGCGACTGGAAGGCGCGGGTGATGGTGCAGTTGGGTTTGTCCCTGGGGCAGTGCCACCAAACGTCCGGCAGCTCGTCCAGCTGGGCGGCCACTTCCGGGTACTGCAATTTCAGTACCGAGGCGGGCTGGCCAACGTCGCCCGCGGTGACCAGCTTTTCCCTGATCTCGCTGCAGGTAGAGCGGGGAGGGGTGGGATGTGTGGAGCTGGGGCGGGACACTTCGATGAAACTACCAACGGGTGGTGCACGGTTGGCACGCAGTGTCTCCCAGCATGGCCAGGCTGCGACATTTGGGGCACCCTGTATCGCCGCGCTTCCCAAAGCAGCCTCAGCCTCCATCCCCACCCAGCTTTCAGGGGTGAATCTTCAGTACACCCGAGCACCAGGGGGTCCTCTCACCCACCTCCTGATGTGCAGGCTGGAGGGGAGGCGGACCTCGCCCCCAACCCCTCGCTCCTTGCCGGTGCAGGCCAGCACCAGGGTCTCGATGGCGCGCTGCAGCGGCGAGGTCACCCAGCACGCGTTGGCGGGGAGGCCCAGCGCGGCCAGCGTGTTGCGCAGCTCGCAGGCCTGCGCCCGCCCTCGCGCCGTCAGCGGCGCGTCGAAGATGAGGGGGTCGTCCCACCCCGTCCCCGCCGCCGCCGTGGCAGCGTTGTACTCCGATTCCCCGTGTCGCACGATGTACAGGTGCTGCGTGGAGGGAGGGGATATGACGGGGGAAGGGTTTCTTGGGGGGCGTTCTGAATTCCTTGTTAACAAGGCGATGAGGCACACCACGACCAGGCTGGGGGGGGGCGGACAAGACTGGGCTTCAAAGGCACTGCCCCGTACATTGGGCGACATGCGTTCCATAACGGGTCCTGACCTCACAAGGGAGGCCCCCATGTGCAACAGACACTCGACTCCCCTGCCAGCCCCACATCTGCCACTCCCTTCCTCCTCTCCCCCACCTTCTCCGCCGCGCCCACACCCCCCAAACAAAACACACCTTGTAGTCCTTCTTGGGCTTGAAGATGGGGAACAGCTTCTGGGTGGAGTCGGAGACGCAGCCGATGGGTGCCGCCAGGTCTAGGAGGGGGGTGTTCCCCGCGGCTGCCTCTGGGGCGGGACCCTGGCCCGGGGCGGAGAGGGGCATGGGCGCGTCCTGGGTGCAGCCAAAGCTGAAGCGGGTGGAGCCGCCCTCGTCGGAGGGGGTGCGGCAGGAGGGCGGCCCCGGCGCGCAGTGCGCCTGGCTCAGGCTGCGCTCGTAGGCGGGCTGGGAGTGCAGCGTGAAGCCGTCCTCGCTCTCCTCGCCCTCGCTCCCAGACTCACCGCCGGGGCTGAGGTCGGCGCCCGCGGCGGGCAGGCGGCCCAGGTCCAGGGTCAGCACGGGCGCGCCCAAGCGCGGCGTGGCCAGGGTCTGCGCCGTCACGAAGCGGCGCTGCAGACTAGCCAGCGTCTCCTCAGCCACCCGCGGGCCCAGGCGCGTGGCGCAGCCCGTGGCAGAAGCCATCACGGTGTCGGGCAGGTGCAGGGGGAGCCGCGCAGCAGCTGGGTGAGGGTGGGGAGGGGGTGGGGATGGGAGGGTGAGGGACTGCAGGAAAATAAGGCCGTCAGCCATGCCAGACAGACCCAAACAGCTGCAGGGGCTTGGGATCTGGCAAGGTACCTGGCGTGATGGCCGGCAGGAGGTCGATGGCGGGTGAGCCGGGCGCCGAGTCCGACTCCTTGGGGCGCCATGCCGGGGCATCCTGGTTGGGTAAGAGTGGAGGGGGAGGGTGGGCGGGACACGGTGGGGGGCTGGCTGTTGGGCACGCCCGGATCCTATGATATCCCCTCAGGAGCTCACTGCTGAGGTTTGGGGGCGGAGGTAGTGGAGGATGCTGGACTTGCGGCGCTTGGGGTCCGGGACCTCCTCCGACAGACCCGGACGGGAGGGGGGTACGGCAGCGCAGCTGCCGCGTTTGCTTGTCATGTGGCACGCCCCGACAGCGCGCCCGCGTCGAGAACCCTTGGATCAGGCCCTTACAAGGCGCGAGGAGCCATGCTGCCCCCTCGTCTGCCCTCTGTCCACGAAACCAGGTGGGAGCGGTCTGGCAGACAGCCCGGCCGATGCCGCCCGGTCACGGCTAGGAGCGGGCAGATGGGGCCACCATCGGTACGAGGAACTGGGGAGGGGAGCTTTAGCGCAGTACGGGGAGCGATGCGGCACTGTCGGCCCCTCGAGGCGCAGCGTGTGATGAGGGGGACCCTCCCAGCTGCACCCCCCGCAATCGAATGGTGCCGGGGCCAGGTTCCCGCCCTCGCCGGCCCGGGTGGGTGGTTTGCCTCTCCCCCTTCCCGCCACCCACTGCCTTGATTCCGGATCAGTCCGTCCCTCTGCCACCTCTTCTCCTCCTGCTGCCCAATCACAGTCCACCGTCACCAGCCGTATGCATACACGGTGCGTGGCATGGCCTCCGTCACCGCCCACCCCAGTGCAAAGTAGGAGAAGTAGCGCGCCGTGATCTCCACGTCCCAGGGCACCCCCGCCGCCGTGTGCGGCAGCGCCGCCAGCCGCGGGTCCCGCTTGGCCCCCGGCGCGCACATGTCCGCCACCGGAGGCTGCCACAGCGCGCGCAGGGTGGTGGGGAAGAAGCGGTACAGGAGGGGCAGCAGCATCGCGCAGGCAACCCTGGCCGCTGCCTTGGCCGCCGCCACCATGGCCAGCCCCAGCGCGACGCGGCGCGCGGCGGCCGGCGCGCCCGCGGCCGCCACGCGGGACAGGAGGATGCCGGGGGCGTGGTGCGCCGGCCAGGTACGGGCGGACCCCGCCACGACCCCGGACGACGCGCCCAGGAAGGAGGCCGTGAACTCGTAGGAGGGGGTGTACTCCAGGGGGCGCGGGTGCAGGCGCAGCGCCACCAGCGAGACGAGCAGTGTGCAGGGAAGTGTGTGGGGGCCACTCAGGATGCTCGCCACCACCTCGTCTGCAGAGTAGAAAACAGGGGAAGGGGGAGATGGTGGTGAGGACTTCGATGTGGGTGGGTGGGGATGCTGGGGATGGGATGCACGACGTCACCTCCTCTTGCTGTGCCTGACTATATCTAGACCTGCAGGCAGTTGCCTGTCACAGCAGTGCCTCAATGTTATCAGCCTGAGCACCAGGCACACACCTCTAGGTGAGGCTGGCCAGCCACCCCTTCCCAGTGCCTGGAGCAATCCGGAGTTCAGCAGCACCTTTTCCAGCAGATTTGCCCAAGCCTTCCACGCACACCTTCCACATGGATGAAGCAGCCGACAATGGTGAGCCCGGCGATGGCCCCCGTCAGGATGTCTATCGGGCTGTGCAGGCCCAGGTACAGGCGGGAGGCCGCGATCCACAGCGCCCACACCACCACCGCGGCATACAGCCCAGCTGCAGGGGTGAATGGGTGGCATGCGGGGTCATGGAGGCGATGGGAGTGGAACGAGAGCTTGCAGGGACGCATGTGCGTTTGGGGCTGCACAGGTTCCAACATGCTAGTGCGGCCGGTCTTCCAGCAGTGGCCGGGATTCCCGAACAAGTACTGCCCGACGACAGCTTGCCCATAGGGAAAGCACGCGCTTGGTGGTTTAGGACCCCAACCCATCACGGGGGCACACCTGCCGTTTCAGGGCCGACCACATCATTCTCCAAGAGGTAGTGCACAGTGAAGAAGTTGAAGCACACAGAATTCATGACATGCGACGAGGGGAGGCCATACTCCTGCACGCAGGGGTGTGATCTCGTCGGGGTCATTGGCATTGCCAAGCTTGCTGGCATGTGGGCAGTAGATAAACTGTGTTGGTGGTGGTGGAGGACCCCAAGCAACAAGATGGCGGGATGGAGTGTCCCATCCCTGCAAGAGCCGGTTGAATGGACGACAACCAGCTGGCCCTGCAAGCCCACCTTGGCATTCTGCTCGGCTTCCTCATGCCCTTTCCCCAGGAAGCGAATCGTGGAGTCCCGGTGCACAAGCCCGATGGGACGGGGTCCGCACACCAGGTCCTTCATGGCGTTTCCAACATACATAGACAATGCCATCTGCCGGTGAGAGGGGTGAAGCGGGGCAAAGGTGTGAGGCTCCTGGGGAGCGCTGAGGGAGGGATCCACACATGAGCAGCATGTGGATGGGAGCCCAGAAGTGGGGTGACCGGTCCTGTGTGACACACTTGCAGACCAAACTGTAGCCCCCCTCACCGGCAACTCGCATGCCTAACCCTTCTGCTCCTTGGGGTGAACACCGTCCTCTGAATCATGCACCCCCCTCGTCCCCCAAGCCTGCCTCACCAAGATACATAGGCGGAGACCCAGATCTGGAAGCCCCATCCATATCACAATCGGCAAAGCGGTTGCCTGTCCATATGGGTGGCATGGGTTGTCGCGTGCTGGCACTACAGCTTCATTCAGAAGAGCCCAAGTCCCCTACTCCTACATCTCAGACGGTGCGTCCCCACTTGACCAGAGGAGAGTGAGGACTCTTGAACTCAAACCCACATAGAAAGTCGTAGATACGGAGGTGGAGGACCACTCAAACAGTTTCGTGAGCCATGGGCGCTCAAAGTCCTGAGCAGCCCGGGTCCACACTAGGCCTTCGTGAACGTGGTGCACTACCCAGGGTCTCACAACGCTACGCACGCGCTGGTGTAGCCACGGAATGCAGCAGAATACGAGGAAGAGCGTCACCAGGAAGGCGGACAGACCGCCGAACAATGCGGGGGCAAGGTGGTGCAAAGCGATCCAGAGTGGCAGGGCGAATGCCGGTGGGCTAGACAAGCCGTGCATCATATTGGTCCATCACCAGGAGAAATTGGAATGGCTACATTTCTCGATCTGTGCCGTATGGGCAGTCAAGTGCTAGACGCACGCAAGATCGCGATGCATGACATGCAGGGACGCGGTGCCCAAACAATGCAGCCGGCTGGTGGAACGCCAGCGAGAAGCAGAGCTGCCCTTCACCACTTCATTGGGTGTGGCTTCGTGTATGTGTCCTTGCAATACCACGGCAGCGTGCATCAAATGATCCCCATGCAATTTGTAGAAATTCATGGTGCAGGTGAGGATGCGCATCCCAGAGGAGCAAGAGAGCTACCTGAATCTTACATCGAGTCCTTGAGATCTTGGGCCTAAGAAGCATATGATGACGCACGTCTCGGGACTCCGACCACAAAATCATGGGCTTAAGCTCCATGATGAATTCTGGAGAGACTCCTCATGCAAGATTGCGCGCGCGCCGCGAAGCCCACGTGGGCTCGAACGGAAGAGTGCCTTCAGCACATTGCACTGCCTAGGACCAGGATAGTGCTCCACGCTTTTCAGAAATCGTGCAGTTTTCCCCAGACCCGCAACAGTGGCGTGCAGTCGCTGTCACTCCAGCAGAGGGACCTGCCGTCATGCCGGTGGTGTCCGTCAACCGTGACCGGCTGTTCGAAGCCCTGGGCCAAGTGTACTGTGAGTAGACTCGAGTTATAGGATGTGGTGTGCCGCAGGGATGTGCCGACACAGGTCTGAGAACCTCTACTGCCTCACTTCTCCCTGCAGCCGATGAGGAGTTTGACAAGCTATGCTTCGAGTACGGCATTGAGCTCGACGATGTGGTGCGTGCTGAGGGCACTATAATGAAAGTGCAATCCCGTGTTTCAATTAGAGCTCAATATCCTGTAGGGCTTCTCCTCACAACGGGGGTTGAGCTCAGGCCACCCACCCCTCCCCCGTCCCCAGACCTCCGAGAAGGAGATGCTGCGCAAGGAGCAGGCTATCAAGGCCGACTCGGCGGCGCTGGCGGAGGCCAGCGAGGAAGTCATCTACAAGATCGACATTCCCGCCAACCGGTACGACATGCTGTGCCTGGAGGGCATCGCCCGCGCCCTCAACATCTTCCGGGAGCGGCTGCCGGCCCCCACCTACACGCTGGCTAACAACGGTGTGCTGCACCTGCATGTGGTGTGCTGTTCGGGGGCGGCGTTGAAGAGCGCGGGACTCGGCTCTTGATAGTGGGTTGTTGACGGTGTATGGCTCCCGGGGAATCCGATCGCAGGCTGGCTGCATGCGGGTGGGCGCGTGAGGTGACGCAGCCTGAGCTCTGGGTCCGATGTACAGGCTCCGCTGAGCCGCCAGCGCTGTAGTGCCACGTCTGGCCAGCCCAGATTCCCATGCGTTCCCTCGCTTCCCTGCACCTGCCCAGGCGTCCCCACCGAGCGCCTGGCCATCAGGCCCGCGACCGCGCTGGTGCGCCCCTTTGCGGTGGCAGCCATCCTCCGGGGCGTGACCCTGGACGGGGGGCGGTACGCCTCCTTCATCGACCTCCAGGACAAGCTGCACCAGAACCTGTGCCGCCAGCGGACCCTCGTGTCCATCGGGACACACAATCTGGGCGTCATCCAGGTGTGCTGTTTCTAGAGAGAAAGGGGGAAGCTTTGGAGGGACAGGACAGGCACCTGGAGGGCTCTGTCAACCTCCTTCATCACGCACTGTCAGGGATGGCGCCGCGATGTTGTCTCGCGCGATGCTGCAGTCTTTGATGCAGTTTTCGATTGCCCATGGGACCCCCTGTCCATGGTCTGTTGTCTGACCACAGACAGACGCCTGCTGTGTGAGGGTTCACCAAGCAGGAGGTGGTTGTGAATCTTTGCCATTACCTACCCACGCCTGCTGAATCTCCATGCCTACACACAATATGTGCAGGGGCCCTTCACATACGAGGCGCACCCTCCCCAGACCATCCGCTTCGTGCCCCTGAAGCAGACCCGCGAATTTGCAGCCGATGAGCTCATGCAGGTGGGGCATGTGGGAGGTTGTTTGGAAGACCTCACAGACGGGAGTGGAGGGGATGCATGTGCCGTCCCCGGGCTCACATTTCAAGCGTTGCAGGCTGGCTGTCGTATACCTTGCAGTGCGCATGAGTGCCTGGCCCTTGCCAGGACTGCGCCGTCGACCCACCCAACCACCACTCACTCATACTTGTGCCGCTGAACACGCTTGTGCCTGACCCCCCCCCCAAAACAACTCCCCCTTTCCTCACTCCACACCCCAGCACTACCTAGCCAACGACCAGAAACTGAAGAAGTTTGTGCCCATCATCCAGAGCAGCCTCGTTTACCCGGCCGTGTATGACGCCAACCGCGTCCTGCTCTCCCTCCCGCCCATCATCAACGGCGAGCACTCCAAGGTAGGTTGACGGGAAGAGAAAGGGGGGTGATTGCTACTGCCGTGCACATCCAATGCCTCCCAGAAGCCCCCTCGCCCAGCCATACAGTGGGCATGTTGTTCAGCCGACCCCAGTACTTTCCCCCCCCAGATCCTCATCGACGCCAACACCCCGCAAGACATCCTGATCGAGGTCACCGCCACCGACCTCACAAAGGCCAACGTCGTCCTGAACACCGGTGCGCACTGGATATTGGGGAAAGTGGAGGTTTCCTGAGCAATCAATGCTCGAGTGCCTGGATCGCGGTCGAGTGAGGTGGCACCTGGGTTGCGATTGTGGCCACATGCAAAGTCCTGGCGCATCACAAGGTTTCCTTGCTTAGACTCGCTGGATGAGCCTGAGGGGTCTCCAGGTTCACATGCGGCAGGCTGCGGTCCGAGTCGGTGCATGCCGCGGTCCCACTCCTCACACCTCCTCCCCCCCCCCGCCAGTCTGTGCCATGTTCTCCGAGTATTGCGCCGTACCCTACGAGATCGAGCCGGTGGAGGTGGTGGACGCCTTTGGAAAGTCCACAGGTGCATGGCGGGGGGTCAGGCTGGGTGTGTGGGGATGGGGTGCAGGGCCAGGCGCATGCGCCACGCGCTCTTTGAACGCACACCCCTCCTCGTTCTGAGGGAGGAAGTCTCTCCTGGCCATGATCAAGCTGTCCTTGGCGCCCATCGAGCATGGCAGCACCCCGACGCACGGAACACCCGCGCTCGATGCCCGCCACCCACCTCATCTCCTCCACCCCTTCCCCACCCTCTGGCAGTGACACCTGACGTGTCGCCCCGGGAGATGCAGGTGGAGCTGGCCTACATCCGCAGCACCACGGGGTTGACCCTGGACGCCGAGCAGGCCTCCGCCTACCTCCGCCGCATGCAGCTCGAGGTCAGGGCTCTGCCCGGCGGCCAGGCACTCGGCATCCGCGTGCCCGTCACCCGGTCCGACATCCTGCATCGTGAGCATGGGGATTGGTTGTCGTTGGAAAGCTCTGAACAAGAAGGGAATGTCGTCGTTTCTTTTGCGGAAATTTGAGGTCCTGTCGATGGCTCCTGACGCAAGATGGTCCAGGGGGGGGGCCCGGGTTGGTTCCTGCAACCCAACAGTCTTCCCACCTGCTGGGCTAGCCTGTCCGTGCCTCACACCTCCCACACTGGCCCCCATCTGCTTCCCTTCCCTCCTGGCCAGCCTGTGACGTGGTGGAAGACGTCGCCATTGCCCACGGCTACAACAACCTGAGGATAACCCAGCCCAGCGACGCGACGACGGGGCGGGAGCTACCGCTGAACGCGCTGTGCGAGCTGCTGCGCGGCGACGTGGCTGCCGCCGGCTGGACTGAGATCCTGACGTGGGCACTCTGCTCGCGGGAGGAGAATTTTGGCGCGCTGCGGCGTGGCGACGGCGCGGGCGGCGCGGTGACCATTGGCAACCCTGCTACCGCGGAGTTCGAGGTGGTGCGCACCAGCCTGTTGCCGGGCGCACTCAAGACCATCGGTGGGTTGGGGTTCAGGTTTTGGGCCGGGTGGGTGGGTGGAAAGGGGGAGGATAGGAAGGGGGAGGCATGTATGCACATGGCAGTCTGCAGATGGGAGCGTCTGCACTCGCCGGGACCTGTGGTCGATTCGGATCACCCCTCGATTGAGCCCCCTCCTCCCTCTGTATCTGCGGCCCCTCGTTGCAGGTGCCAACCGCGACGCGCCGCTGCCCATAAAGCTGTTCGAGGTGTCGGACGTGGTGCTGCCGTCCGACTCCGCCGCCTGCGGCGCCGTCAACCGCCGCCGGCTGGTGGCCGTGCACTGCGACAAGACCTCGGGCTTCGAAGTCACCCACGGCCTGCTCAACCGCGTGATGGAGAGCCTGAGGGTGCCCCTGGTCGCCCGCCTGGGCGGGGAGGAGGGCGAGCGGGCGCGTGCAGCCTACGGCGGCGGCTATGAGTGGAGGGCAGAGGACGACGCCACCTTCTTCCCGGGCCGTTGCGCTGCCGGTGAGGCGTGGCATTGTGGACTGTGGGAGGCCAGGGGGTTTAAGAGTGGGTATGGGAGGCGCGGGGGACGTTGAGGAGGGAAGCACGAGCACCTGGGCCTAAGAATCCCATGCCCTGCACACGATTTGCTCTTTTGACAACCCTAGCACATGTGGCCTTCATCCACCATGCGCCCTTTCCCAAAGTACATTCCCATCAGGTCCCCATGAGTTCGTGATCTCAAGCTCTCATTGCCTCTCACCCTCACCGTGCAGTGTATGCCAAGGGTGAGCGGGTGGGCCAGTTTGGCATCGTGCACCCGCAGGTCCTGGCCGCCTTTGACATCGCTTTCCCCGTGTCTGCCCTGGAGCTCGATCTGGAGCCCTTCTGCTTCGACCAGATGTACCGGCCCCTCTCCTGCGCCCCCGCTTCGTGAGCACTGGCCCGCTGCAATATCTTGCGTGTTACAATCATCATGGACAGAGGCAGAGCAGGGGTGCAAGGGTGGATGAGGGGGATTGAGATGGCAACAGGGTTGTAGCCTTATTCCAGGAATAATCATGGAGAGAGAGTCGCGGGCAGGCTATATCTGGGGGCCGTGCGTGCTGCGGTGAGGCAGGCTTCGAGGCTTTGGGGCCTGCACTTATTTCAAGAGTGTCCGAGAGATAAGAGCACGTGCAGCGCCACCGTCCGATTATTGGCACACATTATCGCTGGTGGGCATGGTCAGTCGCTGAGGACATCACATGCCTGCAGCCCGCCTGCGCTTTGGCTGAGGAGTGGCCGGACGGGCTGCGACATCCAGTGACTACAAAATATGCGAAGGGGGGGCGGGTGAAGGGGGTATTTGTTCTGACATCTGCAAACCAGGAAGTTTGCTTACCACCAATCCCCAATACCCATGAGCAAAGCTGCCTGGGTTTCAGAGCCTCCATCGGCTCGATCTTGCCTCCCCATGTACCTGTCTCCGGGATCTGAGTCTGCAGCTTGTCCTCCTTCTGTCATCAGCCTCTGCACCTTCAGATTCCACTGGAATAAGTGGCTGAGTCTCCTGAGGGCGGGGGAAGAAGGGTTTTGTAACCTCAGGAGTACATGGGCACAGGGAACTGCTCGTGCATGATGCACTGCCAGCGCTGGTCTGCAGTGTGAAACAGAGTTTGTAAAAAGGGCATGAGGGAGAGCCGAGGTGAACCCACAGCATACCCAAACGTACCGATCCGGGAGCATCTTCCACATCGATGGCAGGCTGGATAAGCTCAGCCACCTGACGCACTTCAGTCAGAGGCAATGGCTTGGAGACCACCACAACGGGCTCTGGCTCGCCGGGGGCGTATTTGTCGCCCTGTGCCTCCCGCCGCGTCAGGGGATCGTTGCAGCTCCCCCCAGACCTGGTTGGTACAGGGAAATATGAGGTTCAGACCACAATGCGCTCCACACACCTCATCCCGGCTCGGGGATTTTGGCGAGAGCATAACCAGTGAGCCGCGAAGAATGCTCAAGCTGTTGTCATAGCCCCGGAGAGGACCACTTTCTTCCCCACCCTCCGCACCTGAGCATGGTGCACTTCCAGGCGGTCGCGTCCTTGATGCCCTGCAACTGCTCATAGTCAACGATGCGCCAGCGCCCACATGCACTGCATGTCGGGGTGGTGGACGGGATGGGCGGCGGGGCAAGTGGCAGGGCAGGGCGTGGCGACAAGCAAGGCTGCCCCACCATGGGGGCCTACAGCCGGTGTCCCATGCTGACTCAGCATGCCCACCTGCACATCGCCCAGTGATCGCGGTGGTGCTCGTCAGCATACTCCCGCAGCCGGCCCAGGAGCTCAGAGAACTCCCCGGAAAGCAGGAATGTACGGTCGATGGGGATGGAGGGCTCCCCAAACCTCTGCGGTGGGGTCCCGGAGTGGGGAAAGGGAGCATTGGAGGTCGGCTGCGGCATGCTGGATGCATTCTTTCAGACAAACATGGTACCAAAACCCCCCTTCACTGCAGGGCAGCTCCAGCTCCCTTGCAGACTGCCCCACCTCGAATGCATCGTAGAACCTGAGGTACAGGTCAGTGCGCTCCCGCTTGGCCAGCATGACAGCTGCGATGCCGAAGCCGTTTGGTCTGGGAAAGGAGGACGGAAGTTGGAGCTGGAGCGGACATCTAGGCAGGAGGTGAAGAGCACCGCTGTGCCTTGGGCAGCTTGGTTACCGGCTGACCAGGGGCCCTGCGCCCCTCAGGCGATCCCCCCAATCATGCCAGTCGATGGCCCCTGTCTCTCCACTGCATCCTCCCAGGCTCACGACTTGTCATAGTCCTTGAACAGGGCGCACTTCCTCCCCAGCAGGACCCTGGGGTAGGGCCGCAGTCGCTGAAAATAGTTTGCATCGGTGCTGTTGCGGCAAACCAGCAGCACGCCAGGGACCTTCGATCGTGTCGGGCGCATGTGGCGGCGGCGGTGAGTGGGGCCCCGCAGGAATCCCTCCCTTTCGCAGGGCTCCAACACTTCTGAAAGGGCAGGTACAGCTGCCGGTGTCCCACCTCCCTCGACTCCCTTCCCATCTGGCAACACATAGCCCTCGAGAAATTGTGAAGGCCCCTCATGCAAGGAACTGCTCACCTCGCCACGCTCGACGGCATCGATGGCCCGGTTGACAAACCGCCACTGCATCTGTGAGTGGAAGGGAGGATTCAGCAGGATGTAGAATCCTTTCCACTCGTTCTTCAGAGCCAGTCCATTGTCCTGGGTGCGGGTATGGGGTTTGGGGGCTCGGATAGTTGCAATGCATGATACCTCTCGCCGACCAAGAGGAGCCTAGGTAAGGAGCCCCCATGTAGCATGGTTTCCCCACCTCCACTCCCGCACCCACATGCTTGTCGTACAGGACCTCGGCGGGGATGTTTGGGGCAACCCGGGAGTTGCTGCACGGGTCCAGCAGTCCCTTGATGAATGGAACCTCGGCAGTGGGGCGCTGCAGCCCAAACACACCAAAGCATACGGTTTCCTGGGGTTGGAGGGGGGTCAAGAGGGACATGAGGTTGGGAATGGGAGCTCAGCATGGCACCACTGAGCTAAAAGTCCATCAGGTGACGCTGCACTGTCCTATTATCTGGAGCGCCAAGGGCTGAGTGGTTGTTGTCGACCACAACACACTCACGATGATCCAGTCCGGGGTCAGCCCCATCCTCTCAGACTCGTCCTCGTCAGCATCTTCGCTCTGTCGCTTGCTGGTCGCTGCCTGGACCTGTGGAGTGCGGGTGGGATGACTCCCTTGAGATTGAGCAGGGTGTGGGTTTGAGTGGGAAGGGAGCAGTCACCTGCCTGTGCCCTCGCTGAGGCTCAGATTGGGCTTTGAGCGTGGCGTTCATCGGGAGCGGCCTCGGCACCCACCTGCTGCTCTGTCTTGCAGCCTGGGCAGACCCAGCGCTGTGCGGGGACAAATTGCGGCCCCAGGGAAGGGCATTCCAGGCACAGCGTGTGGAACCAGCGGCGGCAGGTGCTGCACGCCAGCTGGGCTTCGGCGCCCTGGCAGGCATAGCAGCGAGCAAAGGACTGGGAGGCGCGGGTGTGCCTCTCGTACAGGGATGCCATGCGTGCCGCCTCTTGAGCCGGGTCAGTGGAGCTCGACTCCAGCTCCTCCTCCGTCGCATGCAGCTGCTGTACCCTGTGTTGGGTGTGGGTGAATGTGTGCGTGCGCTCACTTTCCTTGCCCTCTGGTAGAGAAGGACCAGTCCCAAACATCGGAGCAGGCTCACACAGGCAAGCAGGTGAAGAGTTCCCTTGGCACCGCCCGAGGTGTTCAGCTGCAGAGTGCTGCAGGGTCGCCAGACAGCCACTGTTAGCTGAGATGCATGGCACCCAGCCAGGTCCAGCTGGACACTCGCCTTCCCGTCTTCTGGCACCAGGCCGCCAGAGCCGCATGCTGCGCGCGTTCCTCATCCTCGCAGCTTGCAAAGGGCTGGCATCGTCCTGCTGTCACCCAGGCGGTGGTGTGCTCCCCGTAGTACCTCACCAGTACTGTCGTGGTGGCCGCCGGGCGACTCAGCACCAGGGCGGCCGCCACGCCCTTATTGCAGAGGGAAAGGCTCCAAGCGACACCGGGCCACTTGCCAGATACCCATAGCCGCGTTCCGGGGGGGTAGGAGCCCGACTCCTGTGCAGTGCAGGGGAGGCGTTCAAGGGGTTGAAAAGAGGGCGGGGCTTGGCAGCAGCCTCTCACCAAATGACACCTTCCCCTGTCAGTGCCAGACATGAGAGCAACCGGCCTCCGCTGCCCACCTTCCCATACAGCGTCTCGAGGAACTTCGTGAGCTCTGGACCGGAAGTGGGCATCCCTGATGCAGTCGTCCTCTCCCATGCCTGCCGGCAGAGCTTGGGAGGGGGGAGTGCGGCGTGGGAGGCCGCCAGCACAGCTTCGGCTGCCGCCGACTCTGCGAATGGTCCGATGGGGGCAGCTGAGCAGCGAGGGAGGCATGCTGTGCTCCAGTAACCTGGTGCAAGGGGCCCATGCAGGATGGCACCCCAGTGACCATAGGCATCTTACTTGTGGGAAGGAGGTGTGGGAAGACCTTGCTCACTGCCATCCGGAGGGACGACCCTCGAGGCTCGAGCAACTCGATCACTGCAATGTCTTCCTTGCTGCCGTTGCACACTACCTTTATCACCCGTCCCTGTCAAGGCATGCGATGGGCATTGTGAAGGCGCTGCAGCATGCGGCGAGACACATAAGCAAGGGCCCCTGGCTGAGCGCCTAACTTCATCCTCGAGGACAACACACATGGTATGAACCAGATCTAGCCTTGTACGGGGCTGGCATGATCCTGGCCGGGAGGAGAACCTCCCTCCGATTGATGCGGGGCGGCATCGAGGGTGGCGTGCGGGGTTCCGGTGGGCTACGGCACCGGTCACACGTCGAACGCCGTACTCCCGCTTCTGGCAAGGTGACTACACTTGGAAGCTCATTTCAGCAGGTTAGGTGGGCTGTTACCCGCAGAAGCGCCCCTCGGTGCGATGATTTACGGGGCCATGCGTCACCCATCCGGGGGCCCCGCCTGCCAAGGCGCGCGCGCGTCGGGATCCTATCTCTTCGAGAATGAGGACTTCGATGACCGATGCAAGGCCCAAAGTGTCCTACCCCTGCAAGACTCCAAACTCAAAGCTTGATATTCCTCCTACTCCAGCCGACTCGAGCCTGTCCCATCCACCGATGCCTCTCGCAGCGATGGTGTCCGTGGTACAGCCCACGGCGACCTTGCGCGCCTGGCCCACGGCGCGGCCATCCCGCTGCTCGCGCCTGGTCGTACGTGCCCAAACTGCTATCAAGATCCCAGCAGAATTCAAGCAGGTGACTAGGATCACTCCCTGGCCGTAGTCTCTATTACCTCTCGGTGAATGCCATGCAGGGCATTGCTTAGCAGAGGCCGGCAGTTCCGACCTCTGTACCCATGTACCCCTTTCTGAGCCTCGTCCAGGTGATCCCCAAGGGACAGCTGGTCCTGTCCAAGGTGGCGGAGACGGAGGCAAAGACGCTGGGAGGCATCCTGCTGCCTTCCAGTGCCCAGCGGGCCCCGACCTCAGGTGGGCTGAAGTGATGTATATGCTAGCCCTGACAGTAGGGAGAGCTGGTGTCCCGGCACGCATGCGGTGTGCCATGCATGGCATCTTGCTGTGTTTCAGGCGCCTGCCCATGCCCCACGTATTCCCAGACTTACAAAGCAAACCTCTAACTGTACCCCCCTCCACCTACCCTCAACTCACCCAGGCGATGTGGTGGCGGTGGGCGACGGCCGGCTGCCTGACCGGACGCACGAGTTCACCCTCTCCCCCGGCGACACCATCCTCTACTCCAAGTTTGGCATCGGGGTGACGGAGCTGGAGGTGGCGGGGGAGGCCCACATCCTGATCCGGGAGGAGGACGTGCTGGGCACGCTGCCCTCCAGCGGCGCCACCGCCGCCGATGTGCCCCGGCTTCAGCCCCTGCACGACCGCGTGCTGGTGAAGGTGCAGGAGTCCGCCGGCGTCAGCATCGGCGGCGTGCTGCTGCCGGACAGCGCCCGCTCCAAGCCGCTGAGCGGTGAGGTGGTGGCCGTGGGGCCGGGCAAGTTTGACAAGGACGGCGCGCGCATCCCCCCGCGCCTCCAGAAGGGGGACAAGGTCGTCTACTTCAAGTGAGGCGGGAGGCATGGCGGGCGCGGGGGGGGGGGGTGAGTGTGGAGGGACGAGAGGGGAACCGTGTGCGGGCCGGTGGACTCAGCCGATGAGGCCTGGCCCATGAGGCGCGCGTTTGGCGGTGACTCTAGGCGCCAGAGGGCTTGGGTTAGCCTGCTTGAGGCAGCACAGGTGGCTGCCTTCCTGCCCTGTCCTGTCCCGTCCTAGGACTCGGTCCCACCGGCGCTGGGGCCGTTGTCCCAGGGACGAGCCCCTCACCGGCCACCACCTCAGTGCCTCATCCCCTGAAACCACACACCCACTTGCTGTACCAGGTACGCTGGAGACAGCATGGAGACGCCGGAGGGTGTCAAGTATGTCGTGCTGCATGAGCAGGATGTGCTGTGCAAGGTGTGAGCACGCACGTGCTCCTGTAATGACCCTGGTCGGAAGCATGGACGGAGAGGAGATTCGTATCTCCCTGGTGATAACGCAGTCGGGGCGGGTCCGGCTCCACAGATTGTAATGGGAGTGTGGAGGCGTCAGGACCGAAGGGAGGGCGACCGATGCTGCAATCTGCACTGGTGGCATCCTTCCGAATTGCATGAGCCTCCTCACGCGCTCACTCGGCCCAAGGAGGAGACGCCTGATCGGAGGAGAATGGATACGCTTATCGCCGACATTCTCCCGTCATGCGCATCGTGAGGCTGAGCAGGCGTGGTGCAAGGGGTGTCAGCATGCAAGCAAAGCCCCCGGCTCCGGCACACGATCCAGCAAACTAGTGACCCTACCCGGATGCGAGGACACACCAGGTGGGAATGTCTGCTCGCTGGTCAACATATATATCAACAAATAAATGGCTCCTCACCCCGATCCATCGTGTCGACCGCGAGACAGGGTGTCGCCGGCCGATGGCAGCCCCACCCCTAGCCAGGCCCAGGACCCCACATCCCTGCACCTGGCCAGCGTGGACAACCACATACTAGTGCGCATACTGCATAGCATTGAGCACTGGTGGGATCGCATCCGAGCCGCACAGGTGTGCCGCGCCTGGCGACACCACCTCTTGGGACCAGGAGGCCAGCACACCTGGCGCGAGGTCGAGGTAGGTCCAGGTCGCCTGCTGGCGGAATTTGAGAGGCGCCCTCAGGAAGACCTTGCTCCCGGACAGACCCGGCCCAGACCCACGCCGGAGCATGCACCCTGTGACTCGTCCCAGTTGAGCAGGGCGGCAGTCCTTCCTCACGCCCATCCATCCAGGGGCCAGTGAGCCGACGGTCGCCAGACCTTCCCTGACCCTCAAACCCCACACATGCCAGGTTCTGCTGTGCATAACCACCAGCAAGTTGAACGAGCAGGGGATGGCGCGGAGGACCCACCAGCTCACCTGGTTTGCTGCCCGGCACGACTGGTTTCGGAGCCTGGCCCTGACCCTGTTCCTGGACTCCGATGAGGGGGAGGCCGAGCTGGTGACCTATTTCTACGGCCTGCTGGGGATTCTGGGTCCTCACCTTGAACACCTGGCGCTGGGAGTCAACAACGACCATGAGGTCGCCTCGTCTGGCAGCGAGGGTGGGGATTACAGCGCCCCCGAGCCCTACCTGCTGGGAGAGGGGGGGGCATGGATAGCCCTGCTGCCACGCCTCCAGAGCCTCACTCTCCTGACCGCGAACTACCCCGATCCACAGCACATGCCTTCAGGTGCAGGCTGGGGTAAGGGGGGTCCCCAGCGGTGGTCGTCCCTCCCGTCTGGCTGCTATGGGGTGCAGTTTGGCTGGGGCCCGGCGTGCATGGCTGAGCCTGCTCCATGGAGCGAGCTTGCACGAGGCCAGCCTGGTGGCTCGGTGGAGACGGTGATCGGCCCGGCAGGCACTCCATGCGCCGCCCGAGGATTCCTGGGACACCATCGCCGGTGTCTTTGCGAGCTGGCTCCCCAGCCCTGCTCTGCCCTCCCCCCTCCCCTGCCCAGGTCTGCAACAGCTGGAGCTGCCCGCCAGTGCCGAAGGCAGCCTGGACCCCCGGCTGGGAGCCCTGGGTGGGCTGCAGGACCTGACCGTGCACAGGCTGTGCCTGGACGACAACACCCTGGCCGCCCTGGCCCAGCTGCCGGGGCTGCGATCCCTCACCCTCCCCGGCGTCGAGCTGGAGGGGCTGGGTGCTTCCGTCCCCGGATGCCTGGCCCTGCCCGACCTGGAGTGCCTGGATGTGTACTCCTGGCACGCGCGGCACCGCCTCCCCGACGCGTCCCTGGCCTTCCTGCGCCGACTGCCCTCCCTCCGCTCGCTCACCCTGCGAGGCTGCGGGCTGGAGCAGGTGCCGGGGGCGGTGCGCGACCTGCCCCTGCGCCGGCTGCTCTGCGGCGGCAACCGCATGCACGCCGCCGACTTCATCCCCGCCGGGCGGTACCTTGCCACGCTGCACATGCTGGGCTTCAGCAGCCAGGGGCGGTACCAGCGCGCCAGGGCCGCGCCCGCGGCCGCCGTCGATTCCGACTCGGATGACCCGCCCGGCAGCGACGAGAGCGGCAGCGATGTGAACATGGTCGACGAAGGGACGTCGGAGGACGAAGCAGGCCCTTCCCCAGTCGCCTCAACGGGGTCAGGCACCGCCCAATCCGCGCCCGCGGCCGGGCGGCGCGTGGATAGCGACGCCTTGGGCTCCGGCGCGGCCAAGCGCCGGGCAGTGGAGCCGGCCGGGGCCATGGCGACCAGCTGGCGGCGTGCAGGTGCACCCCCCCCCGCGCCCGCCTTCTCAGAGCTGTGTGAGAAGCTGGAGGGCGCCACATCCCTGGAGGTCCTGCGCATCAACAGGAATCCCGGCCTGATCCTGGAGGAGGCCGGTGCGAGGGATGGGGGGTTGGCCTCGCCCAGCGGGGCGCCAGGAGCGGGGCGAACCCGCCCTTTCCATCTCCTGCCAGACCTGCCTCCTCCATGCCCCAGCATCCTACCATCCAACTCACCCCGGCCACGCAGGTGTGGCTCGTTTCCTGGAGAACAAGCCGCGCTTCTGGAAGTTTGAGCTGTCAAAGTGCATGTGGGAGTCGGCGGCAGTGGCCCAGCAAATCAGGGCTGCCCACCCACACATCAAGTTCCTGGAGGTGGACTGACGTGATAGGGGCTCGGATGACCTCGCAACCTTCTGCCGCAGCAGTGGGTCCTGGTGCCTCAACCTTTCGCCGCGCAGCGCCCCAAGCTTGGCGGGGTCAGGATGATGGCCCACTTGTGCCCGGTTGTGCCCCCCTTGGGCTTTGTCTCGCTGCCGTGCTCTGATACCTTCCCCCTTTCCCGTCGGGGCTTGCGCATCATTTGGTCTCATCACAGCTCAAGTTTTCCCGGCCTGCGTACCTCTGTGTACACCGTTCCTGAGTGGCGAATGGGTGTGCCACAGGGGGCATTCCTGCTGCAGGAAGGTTGGCGCAGGCTGGAAGGGAGGAGAAGGGCTTGGCTGACTGCTGCCTCAGTCCACAACAGTGCACTCGCACACTCTGCCCTTCCAAGAAAGAATGCTTATATAAAAGTGTTGTTTATTCTCATCACTACAAACTCTAGAAATGCACTAAAAATGTGACAATCGCCCGAAGTGGGGCTCGAACCCACGACCACAAGGTTAAGAGCCTTGCGCTCTACCGACTGAGCTATCCGGGCAGGGAAGTTCCCCGGTGGCAACTGTCTCACATGTGAGATTTCGTCATAAGCAGGGTATACATATGAGGGTTTGACTGACGACCAATTAATGCCCCCACCCCACGGGTTAACTCTCCCTGGTGTACATCGTTGGGCCTCCAGTCCACCCTCATCTCTTTCGCGAATGGGTCCATGCGGGCCGCACATCTCGCATCGCTGGCCGCGCGCAGCCTTTACCAGGCCCGGGTGGGCGCTCCCCTTCCCCGGGGCCCGGCAGCGAGCATGATGCGTGCCTTATTCCCACACGCCATTCCTGGATCCACTTGGATCCCGTCCCGTCCCCCACTCACAAATGGGCGCGTGAGGGGTACTCTTGGTGTGCGCTGCATGGCCACGGCTGCCGGGACTGCGCGCACCAAGCATGTCTACGTCTGCAAGGAGTGCAAGGAGCAGACAGCCCAATGGTCTGGGCAGTGCACCGCCTGCGGGGCCTGGGGCACGTGAGCGCAGAGCCTGTTCATGTGACTGCATTTGGCCCATTGTGGTAGAGACTGTTCTGCTAGACACTGTGTGGCCGCAGCTGGTCGCACAGCTGTGCGCGTGGTGCAATGGGCACAGTCTGTGTGTTGTGCATGAGAGTGCCTGGCGCCGCCGGCCGGACCAAACTGACCCCCAGCGCCCGCATCCACACAGGATGGACAAGGTGGCGGTGCTGTCGCCGGCCGCGGAGTCTGGCGGAGGCGGGGGCGGCGGCGCCCGCGCAGCTGCGCGCTTCGTGCAGGGCCAGGCCTCGGGGCGGATGGCGGCGCCTGCTTCGTCGGCCCAGGCTCGCAGGGGCCAGTGGGTGGAGGACTCCGACGGTGGGTGTCTGAAGGCAGCTGACGAGGGTGTTTCTGGCGCAGGGCATGGCGTCTGGGATCTCAGCCCGTTGGTGTCTGTGACGTCTGGTGGTGGCTTGGCGGCCTAGCGCTCACAAACCGCCGCACCCCTTGATAAACCACCCGTACACCTGTGCGAGCAGCCCCGCAGCGTCTCTCCGATGTGAGCCAGCGCGGGTTTGGCAACCGCTGGCGCCTGCAGCTTCCCGGCAGCGTCGGCTCGGAGCTGGGGCGAGTGCTGGGGGGCGGCGTGGTGCCCGGGTCGGTCCTGCTCGTGGGCGGGGAGCCTGGCGTCGGCAAGAGCACCCTCCTTCTCCAGGTGGGATGAGGGGACTCAGGTGTTTGGCGTGGAGAGGGGGGAGTCCGTCGGGGAGGGAAGTGACAAGGAGGTCTCCTTTCTGGTTTTATGCTGCAAAGGCGAGCCCTGCTCAGGCCACCCTGGGGCCCTGGGAGGGCTTGACACATCCATGAACTGCAAAGCAAGTGGGCTGTGCTCATCCTGCTACGTGCCCGCACCCACCCACTCCCTGCAAGACAGGTGGCCGCACTGCTTGCCAAGGTGGGGCAGGGGGGTGACGATGGGCGCCCCGTCCTCTACGTCTCCGGCGAGGAAAGCACAGAACAGATTGGCAGCAGGGCGGAGCGCATGGGCATGGGTGCCGAGGGGAACAACATCTTCCTCTACAGGTGCGTCTGGGAGTCTGTTGGAAGGGCCGGCCTGCATCGGGCTCTGGTGGCTGGGACCGATGGCGGCCGCGTCGGCGGGGCAGGGCCCTTGGCGCTCCCCTGCTCAAGGCCGGCTGGCCAAGACGCCTCTGCTTCCCAACATGTTGCCTCACCGCCTCGCCCCGCGCAGTGCCACTCGGCTGGACTCGATCCTCGCCGAGATCGCGCGCCTGAATGCCCGGGCCGTGATCGTCGACTCCATACAGACCGTGTACCTGGACGAGATCCCTTCCTCGGCGGGCAGCGTCACCCAGGTGGGCAGGGGGGGCTCGGTCGGTTGGACGGCTGGGTCCGTCCCAGAACTCAGCGACAAGGGTGTGAGCCATCAGACTCCTGAACATGCAGCCGCCCCGCCCTCCCTCCCACCCCGCGCCAGGTCAGGGAGTGCACCACAGCCCTGTTGAGAGTGGCCAAGGGCATGGGCGTCCCCATGTTCCTGGTCGGCCACGTCACCAAGTCTGGCGAGATCGCAGGTGGGCGTGGGTGGGGGGGTTTGAAGGCTAGTGCCAGGCTGGGAGCTGTCCAGCCAGGTGCGCCCTATGTCCTGTCCAGACAGCAACCCAGTCACCACCCTTTTCTTGAAGGACCTCGGGTGCTGGAGCATATTGTGGACGTGGTGCTGTACATGGAGGGTGGGCGCCAGTCTCCCGTCCGCCTGGTGGGTTCCTGGAGGACTGACGGGGGGTGGGTGGTGGGGTTTCAGGACGAACCTTGGCACTGACCACACCACCATGTGTGGGGTGGACATGTCGACCCGAGGTCAGGGTGTGAGGCAGTTGCTCGCATCGACTCCACCCTGCCCACCTGCAGATACGGGGCGTGAAGAATCGGTACGGCGCCACAGAGGAGGTTGGCGTCTTCCAGATGTTTGACGACGGCATGCAGGTGGTGGCGGACCCATCCTCCCTCTTCCTGACCAGCAGGCGAGCAGGAAGTGGGGCTGGCTGCGGTGTGGGCCTGCTTGAGCAGTCGCGCTGCAGGGCCACTGTGCAACACCCGGTGCACCACACAGACCTTCCCCATGTGTGCACACTCATGGACTCACACCACCAGTACCCCCTGCACCACCGGCAAGCTTGCAGGGAGATCTCCCTCGACGTCAGCTCCGCCGTCACCGTGACCATGGAGGGCTCCCGCCCCATGCTCATGGAGGTCCAGGCCCTTTGTACCAGGGCCTCCCAGGTGGGCACAGGTTCGAGAGGGGAGGGGGAGGTGGCTGCCTGGGCGCATGGTCTGGAGCGGGTCAGGCTGGGCAGTCTTTCCTGCCGTGCCCAGTCGCGCCACACCATTCACCATCCAGTCATGTCCCCTCCCACCACCCCCACGGCCCCACAGGGCCCAGGCCTGCCTCCCACCCGAGTCCCTTCCGGGGTCAAGCGGGAGCGCATGCAGCTCATCCTGGCCGTGTTGAGCAAGCACACGGACATGAAGCCATTCATGCACGACATCCACCTGAACGTAACCGGAGGTGTGGGAGCTGAGTTGTTCGAGATGCAGAGGGGAGGGGCCTGGATACTCTAGGGGTAGGTTGTGCTGTCGCCTGAGGAGGGCATGCCTGCTCTGACCACTGGCATCACAAGCCCCCTCGTCCTCAGCACTTCCTACAGCTTAAATGACCCACCACCGCACCCCAGAAAAAAAACTCCCCTTCATCCACATGAAGGTCTAATCATGGCGGAGCCGGCCACCGACCTCGCGGTGGCACTGGCCATAGCCTCCAGCTACTACGACCGCGCCATCCCGCGCGAGCTGGCGCTGATCGGCGAGGTGGGGCTGGGTGGCGAGCTGCGCCAGGTGCCGCAGACGGAGCGGCGGCTGGCGGAGGCGGCCAAGCTGGGCTTCACGCGGGCCGTCGTACCGCCAGGGGGCAGCGCCGGCTCCGGACGCCAGCTGGCAAAGATGCAGGTGCAGGAGTGCCGCACGCTGGCGGCTGCCATCTCGGCGGTGCTCGGGGGCGGCCTGGCAAAGTAGGGGGTCTGATGCCAAGGAGCGCGCCCGGACGGGAAAACTGGCAACCGTGGACAGATTGCCGTGATGCTGCTCCCGGATCATTGCTGCATCACTGGCGTACCGAGGAAGTGCTGGCCGCGAGGCCGACATCCCACCGCTAAGTGAACAAACTGAGTGTGAGAGATCCTTTACAACAGCAGCAACAGGGGAGATTTGGAGGGAGTATACAGAGATAAGGGGGTTGAGGGGTGTATGCAGGCCACCGCACAGCACAGGGGATGTGCGCAGAGTGCTGCCGCTGGGGCTGGCACTCCCTGACACCATCTCCATACCTAGGAGGGCTGATGGTTGGGGCCCATGCGCTCCTGTGTCCACCTGCAAGTAAAGGAGAAAGGGGCATGTGATTTGTTCACCACCGTGCAGGTACTGGAAGGTCCACAGGGAGAAAAGGTGACTGTTGCAAGGCAGGGACGAGACGAGGGGCAAACAGAGGTACCTCTGCAGCCAACACTGGGACCCTCTTAATCAATGTACCTCTGGCCCCCACCCATCCACCTCACCCTCACACCCAACAAACCACACCTCTTCCAGTGGATGTGCTTGTTCCACATTTTCTCCCAGCTGTCCCCAGTCAGCCTGGGCTTGCCCTTGTACCAGGCACGAGGCGCCTGGCCCCGCAGCACATCTCTCCGCTGTGCGGCCTCGTTGCAGCAGGAGATGATGTACTCACGGCTTTCAATGGTTGACGAAAGGGGGTAGGAGTGGGAATGACAGACTGTAAGGAAAGTGACATGCTGTGCCCTTGTGGTGCCCTTTTCTTATCACAGGGCTCTGGAAGGATACCTTGCCCACTGCCCATCAATCACGTGGCACCCGGACCACCCAGCAACGCACTTGAACTTCCTCGGGCGAACTTCTGTTCCCAGGAAACGTCCCGGCATCGCTGCGGCGAACAGGGCAACCTGCGCGCACACAAAGCAGGACCTCACAGCCATGAGAGGAGGCAGATGCAAAATGCACATCATAAAAACCACTCGCCGTCGTTCACCCACCCCTGCACAAGCGCCCCACTCACATGTGCACCGATGAAGAACCCCGAAAACATTCCCGGTGCGACATGGGGTGTGCTGGCTGGCCCCATGAAGGGCTTGCCCAGGAAATCGGCCATGCTAACCACTCCCGGCAGTCACAAGTGCCGCTCTCTTGGGACCAGGACCTCAGGATCGGCAAAAGATAAATTTGGAAGAATGTACCCTATTTTGTTCCTAAAAACTCTCGGGGAGGGGGGGGGGGGGGGCGGTTATCGCGTCGCGTGGTACCACCACATCGAGGAGTGAGCAAGTACCCCGGAATCGTACTCGGCGTCCAAATTCTGCATGACAGTTACTGTGGGACGCAAATCCATTCGTGACACCCCGATGCTCGAGTCTGAAAGCAAAGTTTGCTCGTTTCAACGCATGCTCTTGTATTAAGGTGGACTTGCATCATCAAGGGAGTGCTCGCGGTCTCCATTTCTGTTGTTAACCCCCCTCCAGAGCCGACCCGAACCTGGCCCGTGGGCGTAAACGTGTTGCCCGCGAGCTTGCTCTATACCTGCTCCAACCATCTATCAGACCGATTCCGATGACTGGAGCGGCGTGGGCGCTGGCATGTGTCGCCTTGCTCGGCGTTGCCTCGGCAGCTGTGACGCAGGACAGGATACTCAACTGCGTTCCACCGACACAGCCGCACCCAGGCACCGGCAAGACCTGCCGCTCCATGGCACTCATTCAACAAGGTGAGGTTGATGTCATGAGCTCACTGTTGGGCTTCATCGAGCATCGATGGCAGCGAACATGGTGTGCATCTGACGCGATATCGGAACATGCCACGAAACCCCAGCCTTGCCCTCCACCCTGCAGGTGATGCGCACAGGTACACATACCACGCAGAATCTCCCGGATCCCAGGACATCCTCATCACCGTGGCCAGTCCCAAAGCTGACATCACTGTGCTCAGCGCACTCGGCATACCGCTTGTCGCCTCTGGCGTGCTGGGGGACAACCAGTTCATGCTCAGCAGGGCCGCGCAGGAGTCGGACCCAGGCCCTTATGAGCTGATAGGTAAGCCTCGTTGGGCAGGCGGGGGCACCTCCCTGGGAACGTAATACTATCGAGCTGCAGGCCCGCCTGTGTGCTTGGTGGTTCATGCCCCGGGTCAATCAGAGTGAGAGCAACAACCCCACGTGCGGCCCCCTTTCGCCTGGCAGTCCGCGGCGTCGTGCCAGAGACTCAGTACACTGTCTCCACCACGGTGCACGAGCGGCGCCGCTGCCTGGCTGGCCGGGACCGCAGCGCCCTCCAGTCCGTCCTGGAAGGCCCTGGCTGCTGCTCCGCACCCGGCTCCTGCGCCCGGCTGAGGGCCGCGCTGTCCGCTGATCCTGCCCAGGACATGTGCGACCAGCCTGGCAGCCTGTGCGACGATGCGGGCCAGCTGGTCAAGCTGGACCTGTCTGATCAGGCAGGCGCGGGGGGGGTTGGGAAGACGGTCTGGGAATTGTATGCAGGGCTCACAGCCGCGGCAGCCGACGTGGCGAATTGAAAATTGCCATGCAGTAGACTGCCTCCCTTGCTGTAGCGTAGCCTGCCACTCTATTTGTGCCGAGGTGTCCCCCCCACCTCACAGTGCATATTAATCCGTCACCTCGCCCTCCACCCCCGACCACGTAGGGCCTGGAGTGCCCCGTCCCGCCCGGCCTGGCCATCCTCTCCGCCCTGCAGCACCTGGACCTGTCTGGGAACAACCTGTCCGGCTCCCTGGAAGGCGCGCTGCCCTCGCTGGGCGCCCTCCCGCGCCTGCGCCACCTGCGCCTGGCCCACAACCGGCTGACCGGTTCCCTGCCATGCGACCTGCTGCGCGAAGGCCTGGTCTCCCTGGACCTGGCCGGCAATGCGCTGACGGGGGCGGTGCCGGCGTGCTACCTGGCGTCGCCCAGCCTGCGCGAGCTGTCCCTGCGGCACAATCTGCTCCAAGGCGACCTCCCCGCCCCGGGCAGCCAGGCGGCGTTGGAGAGCCTGCAGGCCACCCACATGGTGAGCGGGCGGGGCGTTTAAGTGGGGGGAGGGTGGGGTGAATGGATGTTTGGGGGCCCGGGTGAAAAGGAGCTCAGGCGGGCCGGCTGGGATGGACAGGTGGCCGCCAAGGGAGCAGCGACGTCACCAGCGGATGACAGCCAGCTGCCTTGCAATCGGCGCCGACCCTGCAGTATCCCACGCCATCATCCATGCAGGGCCTGACAGGCTCCGTGCCCAGCTTCCAGGCGGCTTCCAGGCTGACCCACCTGGACCTGCAGCACAATCGGCTGGAGGGGCCCCTGCCCGCACTGCCCCCCAGCCTCCTCTCGCTCTCGCTGCAGGGCAACATGCTCAGGTAGGATTGGCGTGGGGTGCACTGGGTGGGTGCACACACTTTACAACTCGAATGCTTGCCCCCCCTATCGATCTTCAGGGCGGGGTATGCTACAAGCATTCAGCACAGACAAGGTCTCCTTGATCGTCAATCCTAAATCACCCTCTCTCACACACACACACACAGCGGCTCCATTGGCGAGGGGTGGGTGGCCGGCCTGCCGGCCCTGCAGTCCCTTGACCTGGGCGCCAACTCCCTGACCGGCGGGCTGCCGGAGGGCCTGGCCGCCGCCCCCCACCTGCGCAAGCTGCGCCTCGCCCGCAACGTGCTGTCCGGCCCGCTGCCCGGCGCCTGGCGCGCCTGGCGCCTGGCGGCGCTCGATGTGAGCGGCAACCGCCTGGCCGGCGAGCTGCCCATGGGCCTGGCCCGCCTCCCCGCCCTGCGCTCCCTGGCGCTGGCCAGCAACCGCGGCCTCTGCGGCGACGTCGCGCGCTTCCTGGCGGCCGCGCTGGCGGCGCGCAGCCCGCTGCGCGCCCTGGACGCGTCCTGGACGGGGGTGGGGTGCGGCGAGGAGGGCCTGCCCCCCTCCCTCGCGGCCCTGGCCATGTTCAGGGGCGGGGAGGCGGCCCAGGGCCTGGCTGTGGTGGGCGGGGATCCGGCCGACGTGTTCGATGCGACCGACGCAGAGGCCCCGGCCAGCCCGCGCGGGCGCCTGAGCCTGCGCGGCACCCGCGTGCGGGGGCCTTTCCCCGTTTGGGTGCTGTCTGCCCTGGCCAGGGCGGAGGAGGGGCAGGGCGTGCAGATCGACCTCGCGGCCACAAGGTGTGTGCTTAGGTCGAGGACAGAGGATGCAGACCGGGCCCTGTGTGCAAGCGTGTGTGGCGGTCGGGGCAGGCTCCCTGCCCTAGACCAGGCATAAGCTGAATGATTGAGGGTGGCCTGTCACCCGCACTCCACCTCGCCCCTCTGCCAAGCCTCCGTGCTGCCAGCCCTCTGGTCCTCCTCTCACCCGCTGCCCCCATCTGGCTCCCCCCTTCAGCCTGACCTGCCCCGGCGGGGAGGATGTGGCCAACGCGGCGCGTGCGCTGCCGGCGTCCGCCCTGGCGCGCCTGCACTGCACCGACGCCGCCGCGCTGCCCTCCACGCTGGCCCGGCA